GCAGGGCCCCAGGGCAAAGAACAGGGCCGGGCCCTCAGAGCCGCATCCTCTTTAGGTGGAGAACGCCTTTTTCAATTAGAAAACGCCCATTTTTTCCTAAAACTTTTATGTTAATATAAACTTATGTTACTCGATCTTACAGTCAAGAACTTTCAATCAAGAATATGTTACTAATATCTAATAACTTCAAAAATATCGCTAGGTTGGCAGAAGATTGAGGACATTTTTTTAACCACTCTCTTATTCTTATTTCATCGATAATAGTAATATTTTGGCTCTTATTGCAAGATCCACCGATGTTTTAAGTCATCTACAGCATTACTTTACGAGCCTTTTTAATTGCGAAGGCATTTGTTACAACGCTAAATAAATTTTTCTTGTGTTTGTTCTCTATACTTAATATCGCAAAGTCATTTAATCTCTCTTGCGTCATGGTATTGCGTGTGTACACACACTGTAGTGCCGCGATTCCGTTGCCAGACACCCATCAGTGAGGATCCTTCCCCCCTAACTGAAGTTAGGAGGGCGATCTCCAAGCTGAAGAGTGGCAAAGCAGTGAGTATCTGTGGCATCCCAGCTGTTCTGTTAAAGGCTGGTGGTGAACTAATGGCACGGGGGTTGCATGCTGTCCTGGTTGCCATCTGGCAGCCCGGTACCGTTCCCCCTGACCTGTTGAAGAGAGTTGTCATCCCTCTCTGGAAGGGGAAGGGGGATCGTTTGGACTGCAACAGTCACTGAGGCATCACACTGCTCAGTATACCTGGCAAGGTTCTCGCCCACGGCCTTCTAAGAGTATCAGAGACCACTTGCTGAGGCACCAGAGACCAGAGCAATCTGGATTCACTCCACAATAGTGTATCCTGGCGCTTCGAGTCAATGTAGAGTACCGCCGTGAGTTCGGGAGTGGGCTGCTTGCAGCCTACATCGACCTCAAGAAGGCGTTCGATACAGTGCATCGGGAATCACTCTGCGAAATCCTGAGATTGAGAGAAATTCCAACAAGGATTATTGGACCAATAGCAAGCCTGTATACTGGTACTGGAAGTGCTGTGGTGGGGGCCTCCCTAGCTTCTTTCTTGTTAGTTCAGGAGTGAGGCAGGGCTGTGTCCTTGTACCAACACTTTTCAACACTTACTTGCTTGCAGCATATATATATATATATATATATATATATATATATATATATATATATATATATATATATATATATATATATTATATATATGTGTGTGTGTGTGTGTGTGTGTGTGTGTGTGTATGTGTATGTATGTATGTATGTATGTATGTATGTATATACTGGGCAGAGCTACTGTCCAAAACCATTGTGGGGCAATTCTGGGCAATACGGTGGTTAAACCTTGACGTTATCCTGTGCCTTAGAGTCTTATCTGATGGTCCTTGGGCCGGATCATGGGGTACTGTTGGCGGACCACGTGTCCATCCAACGGTTGCACCGTGAGACTGGCACAGGACCTGTTTTACCTGCACAATCCGTGATCTCCAACTCAGGCTATGCGGCCACCTGGCTTGCTTCCCACAGGATAATCTTGCCCACCAGGTTGTCTCTGTACAAGACATCCCTGGGTGAAGGAGGCTTGTGGGACGGCCTAGGAAGTCGTGGCTTGGGCAGATCGATCAAACCTGTCATGAGGAGCTCGACATGGGCCGATTCCCTGCCTGGCTGCTTGCCAGGAAGGACCCTCGGAGGTGAAAACGAAGGGAAGATGCGGCTCTGCGTCCCCGGCGGCGAGCTCCCCGATGATGATGTGTGTGTGTGTGTGTGTGTATTTACGTATATTTATGTATATATAACTATATGTAAGTATATATTTAAATTTGTATACATATGTATGGTATATATATATAGTGTATATATATATGATATATATGCATACATATATGAATACATAGACATACACACACAAACGCACACGATTTTTTCTTTGTGTGTCTGCTTTATTTCAGTATACCAAGTACTTCTCACTTTATCATATAGTCATTTATATAGATAAATAATATATTTATACACTTTTGACATAATTTTCTTCTGACCGTGCGCAGGATTCTTTAATAAGGGAGGGTAAAGAAAACTTTACTCATATGTTCATAACTCAGTTCATAATTTTCTAGAATAAAATTACATCGATTGACAAAAAAATATAAATATAGAAAAATTCGTTATCACTTTTAGTATTCTTAAAGGAGATCACCAGCCCCCTTAATGGCACACTCCTAATTACTGACTCATAGGAAGGACTGAAATCAAATGATGAAAATATAAATAGACAAGTATATTGTAGTATGAGAACATCCAAATCCATCATCATTTAGAATTATGATCATTTTTTATTCACGTAAGAAAGCAAGTGCATGAGAAACAGTGGTAAAAATTTAATTCAACAAAATTAAAAGCACAAACCTCCAACATAAAACACATATAACAAACTTGTACTCCAACACAAAACACATATAACATTCAAACACTCGGGACCTTATCAGACACAAACACTTGTATACGCATAAGAACAAACAAACACTTGTACGCATAAGAACAAACAAACACGTGTACGCATAAGAACAAACAACACTTGTGTACGCATAAGTGTACGCATAAGAACAAACACGTGTACGCATAAGAACAAACACGTGTACGCATAAGAACAAACAAACACGTGTACGCATACGCATAAGAACAAACAAACACTTGTTACGCATAAGACAAAAAAACACTTGTGTACGCATAAACAAACAAACACTTGTGTACACATAAGAACAAACAAACACTTGTGTACGCATAAGAACAAACAAACACTTGTGTACGCAAGAACATTGTCTACACGACGCTCTTCCGATCTAGAACAAACACGTGTACGCATAAGAACAAACAAACACTTGTGTACGCATAAGAAACTTGGATTATATGATCGGAGCACAGTAATGATAATCAGACACGTGGTTCTGCAGTACGATACCACGCACACCCTGAGCAGCACATAACATAAATTTGCTCATTTGCTATTACCATCAGAGGAATTCTCTCAAAAATCAGAAAAATGCAACAGGTAAACACCTCGGTCCCATCACAAGAAATGAGCTTGCGAAAGAAGGGGAGAAAATAAGTAAATAAGGTATTTAAATAAATAAAATAAAATAAATGAAGTAAATAATGTGTTTACGAGTAGACATGATAGAGAAAAGAATTCATTCACTATTTGACCAATCAAGGTGACAGGTGTTATCACAAATGAAACCTCGACATCGTGAAAGTTAGAACAATATCTTTTAAGTAAATGATTATATATAGTAGAATGGTGTGTGTCAATATAGGGGGATTACAATTAGGACAATTTATGTGAATCTTACGATCAGTATTAAAAAAGAATGGTGATATATTATAATGACGATGGTCGTAATGATAATGAGCTTAGCAATAGCCTTAGTGATGAAGAAAATGGTGTTATGGGTAATACTGGATAAGAGTAATGGTAATAAGATGATGATCATTATGATAATATCAACAACAGTAATAATTGTAATGGTGATAATGATAATAGTAATATTCATATATAGTATGATTATACATTATCATTATTATTAGAAGTAGTGGTAATGATAATGATGATGATGATAGTAATAATAATGATAATAATAATGATATGGTATTGATGTTAGTAATTATAATAAGAGTAATAATAAGTTCACATTTGTATTATTTTGTAATTAATCATTTTATTGCCTTTATGATGATGATATTATTATTATTGTTATTATTATTGTTATTATTATTACTATCATTAGTTATTACTATTATCATTATTATTGTTGTTGTTTATTGTTGTTGTTGTTGTTATTATTATTATTATTATTATCATTATTATTATGTTATCATATCATTATTATTATATTATTTTATTATTATTATTATTATTATTATTATTATTATTATTATTATTATTATCATTATTATCATTATCATCATCATCATATAATGATATTATTATCATTTTATTATTATATATTATTATTATTATTATTATTATTATTATTATTATTATTATTATTATTATTATTATTATTATTATTGTTATTGTTATTATTATTAATTATTATGTTATTATTATCATTGTTATCATTGTTATATTATTATTGTTCTTATTATTGTTCTTAGTATTATTGTTATTATTATTATTATTATTATTATTATTGTTATTATTATTATTATTATTATTATTATTATCATCATTATTATTATCATACAATTATTATATTATCATTGTTGCTGTTGTCCTTGCTGCCCCTATTGCTAATTCCATTATTATTATAATTATCAGTATACATTACCATAACCATCATATTTTTCTTCACTTTCAGTTTTATTAACTTTATTATTACTATCATAATGTAAAGGTAAGCGGTTATAACAATTATTAGAATAAAAAAACAGTAATGATAGTGATAGGCACATCTGTACCGTCATGTATTAATTTGATATAAGAACGTAAGAAAGAGAAAAAAGATCAATGTCACGTTTAAAAAAAGAACCTCTCTTTAAGAAATTCTTGATCATGCCACCAACCGCCACTTATCCTACTCCCTCTCTGTTACTGAAATTTCCCTAGTTCCTTATTCATCAGTCCTCCCGTTCTCTAGAAGTTTTCTGTGACCAGTTCGCTATTTATGTATTTCGCTATAACGTGTTCGCTAAGATTTCAATTGAAGGGAACGTTTGCGAATTTGCCGTTTATGGGTTTTCTAATAAGAAAAAATAGACGCCTAAAGTGAAATATTAAACGAAAATAATGGAAAGGTTGCAGAGACAGATAAACAGAGAAAGAGAAATGAACAATATCCTTCTCTCCTAAATTCATAATAATACCAATCATGAGGATTCCTCACTTGATCTCAATTACTCTAATTCCCTAAATTTCCAAATTATCATTAAAAATCCCCATTTCCCAAACCCTTCCCTAGTTCGCTAAAACCAGTCCGCTATTCAACAACTTCGCTAGAGTTTCGCTACACTGTGTTCGCTAAGACCGCACTTGACGCTTTGTTTACATCAGAGAGAAGGAAACGTTTGTAGATTTTATTACTGAAGGATTTCATTTTCTATTCTCTTTTATTAAGTGATATATCAAAATGCCTAAAGTCAGACGTAGCAGGAAGCCGCCGCCAGAAGGATGGGAGTTAATTGAACCAACGTTGGAGGAACTGGATCAGAAAATGAGAGAAGGTGAGTTTTTGCGAAAATTGAAACGCATGTTTTTCAGTGATATGAAGTAAATTTTGGGTCTTCTGGTGTTGTTTTTTTCATTTTAAGTGGGATGTGTGTTTGGTGTAATGGGATATGCCAGGGTGTTCTTTAAGGGGGATTGGTAAATCTGAAAATACGAGGGTTGTGTGGAAATTAAAATGTCTACTGTCCAAGGTTGTTGTTTATTTGGTTTATATCGTTAGGAGACTTGTGCAGATTTTTATTTTTATAATTAAGTGATCTTTAGAGGGTTGAAGTGGGTCAGGGAAAACAAACAATTTATATGAAATTATTTATATTACGATGGTACAAATTTTTTCTTTCAATATGTTTTAGCGATTTTGTGGGGCTGGTAAAGACTAGTGTAGCATTTGATTGGTTAGAAAGCTAATGTATTTAATTACTTGTGTACGTATTGTCTTTGCTTTAGAAGCAGGAGGCAGTTCCAATAGAGTATTGCATCACTCTTGTTCCTAGGAGTGACTCACCCTCCAGAGACTTACAATTGTATGCCTAAAGAAATTTCGGAAATAGATAAAAGGGAAAAGACTTAATTTGGTAATTGACCAATTAAGCTGACAGATAACATCGATATCGTGAAAGTTAGAATAATAGCTCTTAAGTAAATGAATAAATATAATAGAAAGGTGTGTGTCAAAATAGGGTGATCCCTTCATTCTTTGAAACACAAAATAGTTTACTAAGGAATAACGCCGAAAAAATCAACTGGTGTATTAACCCATTAACGCTGGTATATTTTGAAGTCGAAAATAAAAGATTCCGGGCGGCTAAAAAATTGGCGGGCGGGCTAAACTCTGCTGCTGCTACGTTGGAGCGCGAGCCCCGAGACAGCGTCATACTGGCGGGACACCCAGCAATGTTTATTTTTTCGGGTGTCTCATATGTGGGACATCCTTCATTAGTTCATTAAAATAAGGCAAGAGGTTAAGGACATGGTATTTTTTAGACTGACAGTCCTAAAATTTTGTTAAAGACTTGTTGTGCAGATTTTAACATAAGAAGATTGGGACAATGTGCACCACGAGGTAGTGGGGGAGTTGGGTAATAAAATATATATATATGAAATGATCAGATGATACAAACCAAGACAATTTTCTTCTATGGGAATATTTGTACATATGCTTCTCAACGGAGCTATATGTAAATGAACAGAGGTTAGAGCCCAATTTTAGCGAAGTCGATCATCTTGTTTAGCCTACATGGTGAGAGTAAAAATTGGATTGACCACAGAACTCATTACTGTGATGTGCCAAGCAGTTCATGTGTTACTATGCGCTTGTTAAAAGGATGTTTTGATAATCATCAGTGTCTGCTGTTCGACATTTATGCTTTCAATGGTTGTTATACCTCATTTATGTGTTTCAAGATTTATTTATACAGTTTTGTACAAGAATCAGTCCAAAGAACATTCAGCACATATGCACATTTCCAGGCACCAGTTTTGACAGAAGGATTCCTGGCTATTCAGTGACAGAAGGCCAGCGAGAAATGTTTTGTTTTCGGTGTTGCATCGATTCTGGGTTATTATAAGACTATACAGTGGTAACAAATAAGCAATAGACCTTAATAACCATCACAGTTTGATATTTGAGCCTATCAAGTGTCCCAAATGCGTAAAAAAAGTGATTAGAAACAAAGTGATTTTGGTGTTTCAATATATAAAGGTATTTGGTTTATTGTTTACAATATGGATGTAGCTCTATCTTGCTGTGCATACCAAGGTGAAGAGAATGTTTCCTCGGGGGTGTTGGGTGCAGAACCCTCCATCACCCCTCTCCTCAAGCAAAGCCTAGTCATGGCAACTTAAATTGCTAGATTTTGTTATGGGTCAGGACGTTTCTTTTTTTTTGGGGGGGGGGGGTTGGAAGGTGTAAAATCCTGTTGATTTTCCCAAAGGATGGGTTGGATTAATGTAGACTTTTGGAGCGTCAGTGCATAGACTTTCAAAGATGGCGAGCATGTTTATAGAGTTTCATTAGCCATTTTTAGCATTTTTGTGCTGGTTTTTCACATTTTTGTTTGTTGTAACACTTGGTTGTTCTAGTTAGAAGTATTTGTTTTCTAATTTGATTTCATTATATTGTAATTTTAGCTTCCATTCATTAGTGGGAAGGTTGTGTCATATAAGAAAACATTTCTAAAATGAGAAAAGGCATTTTTGAAATCATTTACGCTCTTGCTTTATTTTAGATTTTACATTGTTGTTTAATTTTTATATATGCATAATGGAAAGGAAAGTGTAAATTCATATATCACTTCAAAGAAATAAGACATCGGAAGCCAGAGTAAACACAAAAAAGGTAGAATGCAAGTTACAAATTGATAATTTATTACTGTTTATTAACAGCAGTATTTATTGCTTCTCCATAATGTAACATCAGTACATGGATGATTAATTACATAAAATAGTTCAGCATTAAAATGAAATTGGTCAACTTGAACACATTACTTAAGAATCAGGGTTCAGGCATATCTTTAAAAAGTCTCAAAATGTCTTGTTCTCTTTAGATTGAAGACTTTAGAAAGTTTTAAAACAGAGATTTCTCTGTTGCAGGTCACAAAATGTCTTAATTTTGCCCAAGACACAACTTTGTTCAAGTAAATGTATATATATCTGTTACTGTTGGATGCCATTGTGATTCACTCATTTGTGGATCTATACATAGCTTGATTGGAAATCATTTGTCAACAAGATAGACCTTTATCTTTGCTGATTGACTGTGTTTTTGTTTGAAGTGATACACCACTTTGTGTGTCTGATTAATCAGTACTATTCAGCTTTCTGTATTTGAATATTGTTTTTTATTGTTTGCTCATGAGATTGTTTACTTATGGGCCACATGCAAAAAAAAAATGATTCTGGTGGACAATCTATTCAAGAGACGAGGGTGAATTTTTTATTTTGATCACTGACACGACAAGTAGGGCTACAGATTATGAGGAAGTGTGTATTTAGTGACAAGTGGCTCCAGGTCTTAAAAAGCAATTTATATAAGTCTAAAAAAGACTTAGAAAGATCTTAAATTTCATCAGCTTATACCTACAAGTACCCTGAGAATAGGGGAAGAGGCAAACCTTTGGTAACAATACTTTAACTCTTGTAGAATTAATGTTGCAAGTAATGTTTGAAAGTGTCTGAAGTGAAGACCAGCAACACCTAATTTTGTCTAACAACAAGCTTTTAATGACGGAAATAAGGTTTTTGGTTATAGACATTTATTTCCTATTTTGATTTCATCTCATTGTAATTTTAGTTATCAGTTATGGTGCCTATATTAAGTAAGAGGTAATGTTTGTATATTATTTTATAGTTGAGAGATACATTTTCACATTGTCTTGAGTTCTCTTCTATCTCTTGGTGAAGATATATGACCAGGATTGGACACAGAACCTGCCCCTCCTGCCTATTTGTTTTTGTTTTAGGTGGGTGATTTAGAGTAAAGGATGACCATAAAAAATACATTCACTTCATGAGTAACAAGCAGTTGCATTATTTTGTTTTTAAATTTTATCTTGGGCAGTGCAACTAGCTTGATCATTCAATATTTTAAAATGTCAGAGCAATATGCTGGTACCTTTAAAACCTTAAAAATAGATATTTCGAAGAGTCAATACACGAGGGCAAATGTATTGGAAGGTGCATGGCCTGTCCAGGAAATGTTAGAGAGTTAGTCAGAGCTTGCTGTTACCCCTGTAAGTCAACCCCTAAATTCCATGCTTCCTACATCTTATTCCTTTGCTGTGGCTGGGACATGGTTGAACTAAAAGCTTACCAAACTAAAGATATGGTATGCGTGTTCATGAGCAGCTGGCAGTATGGGAAGGCTAGCACAGTGTTGTGGCTGGGAAAAGTGGAGTGGGTGAAAAGGGTGAACAAAGCATCTGTTGGGCATGTACACGGCCAACACCAAGGGATTATAGATTAGTCATGCAGTTTTAGACAAATCCTGTTTTGGAAAGATTGTGAAATCCCACCAATTTGTACTAAAGTTTCCGATATTTGGTTTATATGGGCTGAAAATTTTGAATGAAACTTAATGTTACATTATCATCAGAATTACCAAACTTCTTATTACCTTATGACTCCATGAATATAATTGCAAATATGTATTTGGATTTACTAAGATTTACAGTACATTACAAATTGATATACATATTTTAGGATTCTTAGGTTATCAAATATTGACCAGAGTAAGAAAGACCAATATACAGCAATCTGGTGCATAATTATTGAAATAAATAAAGAATGAGGCAAGGCTTTCACAAAACCAGTATGCACACTTTACTGTGACAGATGTAAACAAAAAGTATGAATGAGAATGATCTTCACAGGACAATAGATTATTCAGTATAAGTATTTCTGATGGAACAAGTTAAATATGTCTCTTGCTCTGTGAAGATATATTTCATTTATGCCCATTTTTAGAGCTAAAAATTTTAGCTGGTCTGTGAAGTGTTTTTAGGGAAACTGCCAAAACAAAATTATGATTTTCAACTTTTGTGTGGTTGGCCACAGACAATCCTTTCCATGAAGCTGTGTATGTAGTTTAATAACTGGCAAGACTTTTGTATTTCCTATACCTATATTTTTCAGCTGTTATGGAGCTTATACCAATACTTACAGCTTTAGTAATAATTAGTATATGAGTTTACATTTTTTGCTTCAGAGTGTTTGTTTTCCCACTAGAGCTTCAGTATTGGTTAACTTCCCATTTTTTTATCTTGAATTCTTTCATTATCTTTGCAGCTGAAACAGAGTCGCATGAGGGCAAGAGGAAAGTCGAGTCTCTCTGGCCCATCTTCCGCATTCACCACCAGCGATCTAGGTACATTTACGACCTCTTCTACAGACGGAAAGCTATCAGCAGAGGTAAAGAGAATTTTTTTATTGTACTTTCTTTCCTTCTCTTTACGCTTTTCTTGTCTATGTTTTTTAGTTTCTTTTTATTTTTTCAACATTCTGTCTTTTTCTATTCATTCACTAAAAGAAATAAAAAGTAAATTTGAATTTTGTAATGCTCTAGAAGCTGGTGAAGATAGTTATAATTTTATTTTGTATTTTCCCTATATTGTTTTATTAGTTAAGAGGGAAGTTAACTTAACTCAAGTATCAATAATCATCTGGGGGCTAAGTATCAATAAGCCAATAAATAATTTGGTGATTCTTAATCAAACTGAAATTTATCAAGTTCGTTTCATCCTTTGGCTTTGTTTCTTGAGAAGTAGTAACTTTTTTAAAATTAAAAATATATAATGTGTTTCGTATTATGTAGACTAATGGTAATTTGAATTGTAAAAAATATATATTATGTAAAGTCTAATGGTAAATGTAATGAAAATACATTATGAAATTACTTGAGAATTCAGTATATGTGATAAATGTGATGTTAAGCAGCAATTTTTTTTTTTTTTTTTTTTTTTTTTTTTTCAAAGAAACGAGAACAAGCTGAACTGAATATATTGCGTAGGTTTCTGTTCATTCCTTGATCTCAACAAAGGTCCAAACTTTTTTTTTTTCCAGAATTGTATGATTACTGTCTCAAGGAGAAGATTGCAGACCAGAACTTGATTGCTAAGTGGCGCAAACAGGGATATGAGAATCTATGCTGCCTTCGCTGCATCCAGGCCCGTGACACCAACTTTGGCACCAACTGTGTGTGCCGAGTTCCAAAGAGCAAATTGGAAGAGGTAAGGGTCATGGTTTTGTTGTTTTGCTTGTGTTGTTTTTTCTCTTTCCTCCTTTTTTTCTCTCTCTGATTATCATCGTTCTGACCCTAACCTGTTGGAAAGGTTAGGGTCGCGGAAACGTTGCCCAAGTGGATTGATGACTATTTGTCTAAGAGGAGAGCTTGTGTATGGTTTCAAGGCTGTTTGTCAGAGGAAAGAAATCTTGAGCTGGGAACTCTATAGGGAGGTGTTTTAAGCCTAAGAGTGTTTAATGTACTAATGAACAGAATCTCTCACTCTTTCTTTCATATTGATTTCTCATCTGTCTCCTACCTTTGTTGATTTTCTGATTTTTCTGTCTTCTTTTTCACTTTTTAAATTTTCTCTTGTCATTTCCTTCATCATGTTGCTGATCCTTCCCCATATTAGACTGAAGGATGTTTGTATTTTTTATTTTATTTTTTTATATATATATTTTTTTGTAATGGTTATTTGATCATTTTTCCATCTTTATGAATCAATCCATTGCTGCCTGGATGTGCATGCCAGATCCACTGATTTTAGTTTATTTACTGTTTTTATATATTGATGGCTCCATAGAAGCTTAGTCATCTAGGAGTCCACTGCCAGTCCTGTGTATGCCACGTGTTTTCTCTTTCCGTTGATTTTATTTATTTATTGTTGTTGTTGTTGTTGTTGTTGTTGTTGTTGTTATTATTATTATTATTATTATTTTTTTTTTTACAAACTTTTCTTACAGTTAGTATTTCAGGGACATAATGTCAGTAACAGTATTGTTATTATAGCATTAGAGAGATAGGGGGGAAAAATCCTGAAATTCTAAGGAATGTGGAAGTCAAGTGAGGACACATGGCCTACTAAATTGACCCCTTGGTGACTGAGTTACTATGGAGCCATGTTATGTGTACATAAAATTTACAAGACAAAACAACAGTGGACATTTCAAGTACTCTGCAGCAACGGGTCAAAACAAAAATAGCCATTTCTCAGTTTGTATAAATACTGTTCCATGAGAATGTTTCATCATTTGTCTGTCTCTGGGTCTGTTCATTTGGGTTAGTTGTTAAGTATTAGGCTGCAGTCAATGAAATTAATCTTTTGTTTGTATATAATGAAGTATATTTTCCCTCTACTTTGGGTATTTTATATTTATATTAATTGCTTTATTTGATTATAGATTAACAATTATATAAACTAATGTTTTCTCCCTCTCTCTACAGGGAAAGATTGTTGAATGTGTTCATTGTGGATGCCGTGGCTGTTCTGGATGAGGAAGACATTATAACATGTGCATGAATCAGGTTCAGTTGTCATGCATTGCCCGGAGACCTGACGACCATAATGTTCTGGCAATATTCAATCAGAATTTAGTGTTTAGGTTTAAGATCTCAATAGAAAAAATATACAGAATTTTTCTTTATAGTTCTGACAGAGTGAAATAGATTTAATTTCAGTTAGTGTTATAATTGGATTATGGAATACCCATAATATTAACAAGTTTCTGAAGACAGTTCAAAATGCATTCTTCATAATTAATGTCATCTGTCTCATGCACATGATAGTTTTTATTGTGATTTTTAAAAAACACTGATCTTTGTCTTTGAGTGGAGAAAATAAAACAAACACATCTTAAAGAAGATATTTTTCCTTTATATACAGTTTGGCTTGGCAAGACATAAAAATATCATTTTAAAACAATAAATAGTTAAAAGACAAGTAATAGTAAAAATTGTAATAGACAAGCCACACACGTAACACCCAGCAGCGGGCGAAGGAGCATAGAAAGCAGGCCTTCACACTGTTGGACAAGGACGCACGGAATCAGCACGAAGGATGGAGGAACTGGGGATCTCGCTTTGTCCAAAACCTCCTCAGAAAATGCAAAGTTGTGTCATTTCTTTTCGAGGGGAACTGTAGGAAAACGTCTGGTATTGTGACACATTTTGGAAGATGTTCCACCATGTTTTCTTTCTTTTTCTTTTTTCACCTTTCCATTTTAGGATGGGGTATAGGGGGATGGGTTATTGAACATACATCTTGACTTAGGGTATATACACAAATGTTAGCAAAGTAATGAATATAGATTCCAGTAACCTAATGGTAAGCATCTTATCTTGAGATTCTCTTTTGGAGATTCTAATAAATTGAGTACTTTGGCAGTGGATTAATTGGGTGGAATGTGGTTATAATGCTAAGAAAAAAATATTTATTACTCCTGTCTGATTCCATTTACAAAATATGCAAGGCTATGATTTTGTGAATAAACAGTTTTGTCTTTCAGTCATTTCTTTTTTGTCCACAAAAAAAATATATATATGTGCAAGCATTTTTTTTTTTTTATGGAGTATGTACAATGAAAAAAAGATCATAACATTCAGTAAACTAATCTGATATTAAAAAAGGCGGAACCCATCTTCCTAGACTAATGCGTCAACTTTTTTATCTCAAAAGATCTAGCCCAAAGTCCTTCCTCTGTTCCGTACATCCTCAGCCAACGCCTTAATTGAACATTTCTTATGGGACTACCAAGTCTTTGTTTATCATTATTTTTTGTGTATATATTATAATGTGAGCTGAAAAAATGGTTCCAATATGGAATGTCTACTTGCATAATAATAAAATGACAAAACTTCTATGTAAAATACCTCTACACAATTTGGACGATTTGGTAAATTACATTTCCTGTACATTTTTTGTTTTTGTAATGAAAGTGGAAATAACTTCTGAATGGCATAAGGAAAAAAAAAAGGAGTATGATACAGTCACAGTAAAAGACATCCTTAAAAACATTAGTTTTCTGCAATAGCATCTTCATATTTGAACAAATAATCACACAGAACTCAAAACTTCATCTATCTTGTTCACAAAAGCACTAACAATAAACATAAATTCTTCATATGTGAATGACTAGGTGCAAAATAAGATGGAAAAGGAAAACACAAGAAGTAACAAGAAACATTTTCCAGGAGGTTACTTAGCAGTTCCACAATCATGTATCTTTCTTCCTCAGTGACCCAGGAGACGCGTTAAAGCTATAACCAACTGAGTATTGATTTTTTTTTACCTTTTTTTTCTTTAATTTCCTTTTTTTTTCTTTTTTACTATTATTTTTATTTTTTATAGCTTTTTTTACATATATATTTTTTTTGGTTTATTAGGCTAACAATATCACTTGCCCTTGTGATTCTTCTACTCGTCAAAATGCAGTGTACAAAAAGGGAGGCAAGGCCCATGTCAAACTATATTACACAAAAAAATTGCATCAGAGAAAGCTCAAGTCACCCAAGGAATGATGTGTTCTTCTGGCCTTTTTCTTACACTTTCCATCAAATGACATACATTTCCTCCCAACTCCTCTCCAAAGGCCTTGTATAGGGACACTTGACGACACTTGCCAAATGCACCATTCCTGAACTTGAGATCTGCTGTGATTTTACCCCTACAAATATTGACTCTCAGGAAGTTGAGATCCTGTAATTTATCAAGACAGAGTTAATGAAAACTTAAAAAAAAAAAAAAAAAAAAAACACCAAGTAATTACAAGACTCTAATTTTAGCCAATGAGAAAAAAATAGCTAACCTCAATATGAGATTATTATAAACAATGCATACACAAGAGTTAAAAGACTGAAGGATTTTAAACCTTGGAAGACAAGAGGAAAAGCAGACATTTAGGTAACTTAAATGGAATTAGTATCAAAAGCTTTTTAATGGTGATAATAATATACAGAAGCCTATTTCTTATGCCTCATCATGTTAACAATAATGAACTTCATAAAAATATAATTAAATTTACGAAGTGTTTAACTACTATTATACGTATCATATCTTTAGAAAAATTATGACAAAGATGATGGTAACAATAATACTTATGTATAATCAAAAATGAAATAAATCTATTATATATTGTTTTATCATCAATTATCCTCTAAGCTCTCATCATACTTCATGTTTTCATAATTTCTTCTTCCATTTACTGCACATTGTTATCTTCCACTGGCCAAATAGCATAAATAAATGCAATATACAATATCAATAACCATTGCAACTGCTTCTATATCTATGATTCATACTTAAATACTAGAGCTTCATACAGCATTTTTGTCACAGACTCATCTTCATCTGTCCTTTCAAAAAGAAAAAAAGTTAAATAAAAAAGTATTTATATGAAAGGAAGAAAACTACATAAAAATAATCTTTTTCCATTTGCAAAACAATAATAAATGTAGCAATAATAATCAATGTACAGGTATTTAGCATAATCTACATACATACTTGCTTTTTCCTGATCAATCAACACTGACTAGATGAGTATATTTCCATATAATTCTGGATCTCTCACTTACTCTCCATATGAAGTATTTTGATTATCATTTTTCTATCTGACATGTACAAGATTTCAGTGCTTTTCACAATGTTTACTTTGAGAAGGCTATTTCACGAAAAGCATCACATTCTCTTAAATATACCCTCTACAGAAATCAACTGTCTCCGTAGTTTTACATTTCTTTGCATTAATAAACAAATTAGCTTCACTGTGAGCAACTGCTTCAGTAAAATTATTGGATTTTGCTTGACAAGAAGTACACTAAAGTAGAAATAATCATTGCAAAGAATGAAAAATGACATTCATATAGCATTAAAATATCAGTTCCTGATTTTAATGGATCTGCCTAAGACAGGGATTGCAAAATCACATCTGTATACACCAGCAGATTTACACTATGTGATCTGAAATAAATCTCTTTATCATATCTTCTTTTAGGATGATCAAGCATGAATGAAAATTTGATTCATGACGAAGAACAGTTTTGATAATAAAAGGAAATTGGCAATTTACATCCCACCATTTCTCAGCCAATAGCAAGTAGTTTTATCAATCTCCATTTCTGCATTTGAAAAAAAGAAAAGAAAACAAGAGGAAAAATTTATAAAAAAAAAAAAAAAAAAAAAAACATCCATAATAAAAATAATTCTATCCTACAGATATCTTAAACAGGAACTAGGGGAACAGGCATACATACAGTGACTCGCACATTTGTTTAAAGCATCTTAAGAGTGACTGAACTTACAAAGTGATCATCGCACACACACACACTGTAGGTTGTCCAAGGTGGTACTGCTCACCTACACTGACTCTACATACCATGGCATACTGGCACTAAATCTATATATATATATATATAAAAAAGTTATCAAAGGAAAATAAAAGAACAGGAGAAAGATATAGTGAGAAAAGCAAAACACAAGGAAATAATAGTCAATTTCAGATTAAATGGATATTAGCATTTTCACCATAACATCTAACACTGAGACCAAGGAGGGAAATAAATCAAGGCACATTCATATAACCAAAAGAGAGAAATGTTTTAAAGTTTAATGTTTGAAACAAATAAATGTGCTAGACATCAAAGGTCATATAGCACTATGGTAAAGTATTGTGTCGGAAAGGGTAAAGAGGAGTTAAAGATTAGGATAAAAGATTAGAGAGCGTTATAGGATAGTATGACAGTGCAAAGGGAAAAGAGCATAGATTAAGGGGGTTGGGCGATTGAGTGAATTACAGTGTATCTGTCACAGGTTTAGGTATATGAATAATGTTCAATGAAAACAGAGATGGCTGTTGGAAAAGTAGGAGAAGCATCTGGGGAGAGGGGGGGTGTTAGATGTCAAAGATTAGAAAGTGTTGCAGGAAAGTATGGCAGCATGAAGGGAAAAGAGGGAAGTGAATAAAGTAGAGCAGGTATTAGTAAAATGGGAAAGGTTAAGGGGGTAGAGCGATTGATTGAACTGCATTGTATCTCTATTGTCAAGGAAGAGGTGGCTGTCTGTGGGGGAAGTAAGACTGGGGAAGGTGGTGAAGTATCAGGAAGAATGTCTGGAGGGGTGAAGTCTGGAGGACACTGTTGTGATAGAGGGGATTCGTGTGAGTATTCAGGTGGGAGCGGTAGAGAGGGTGGGGTATGTTGGGAGGGTGTAGGAGGAAAGGGGGTGGAGGGAACTTGAGGAGGAGGATGGATATCTGCAAATTCTTTAAATGTAGGAGTAGGAACAGAGGAATTGGGGGGTGGATGAAGGAGCAGTGTTCCTTTGGGTCATCTTTAGGAAATTTTGGATGTCTTCAGGGGTTTCTCGAGGGGAGTTGGGTGAAGAGGACTGAGAAACAAGGGTTCTCTTCTGAGAAGAGGAGATACATATCTGAGGAGCAGAAGAAGAGGAAGGAATGGGAGAGAATGGGAGAGTGTAGTAGGAGAGGGTGGAGTGGAATATTTAGTTGCTGGTGTGTGACAAATAAAGTGAGGAGGAGGGGTAGGTATTGGAGAAGTGGTAGCGATTGGAATATCTGGATTTAGACTGGAAAATGAATTTGACTGGGGGATAGGGTGAGTAGAGGGTTTAGGGGATAGATAAGAGATACTGGGGGAGATGCAAAAACATCTTGTGAAGATGGTGGGGGAGCAGAGCGAAAGACTGGTTTAGAATAAGTTGCAAGAGAAAAACCTAGTCGTAGTGCCTCTTGTCTGGCCTCATGTAGAGTGAGGCTTACTTTGAATTTGAGGACTGCTACCTCACATTCAAGTTTATAGGCAGGGCAGCTCCTATAAAATACATTATAGGGCCTCCACAATTGGCACATATATGTGACTGAGCAGGTTGGGCACACAGAGGGCAGCGGGCTGGGGAGCGACAGTTTGGCTGGGTGGCCAAAACCCTACCAAGATAAACTTCATGGGGGAGGTCATGTCTATGGAAGCTAATCTTAGGAATATTGACGTAGGACTTTCACTGGCCTCTGGGAGGAATAGTGTAACACTGTACTGCCACTGCGTCATAATCAGTAAGGAAGGTAAGTAGGTCATTTTCACAGTCTGACCAGTCCTTGTTGTAGATAGGACAACCATTTGGGGGGATAGAAACAGTTCCAGTACAAGCATTAAGAGAGGAGTGAGGTTTGGCATGAATGGGTTTGCCCGTGAGGTAAGATAGGGTAAATAGTGCACGAGCTTGGGATTCAGACGTAACTATGACAAGGCATGAACAATCGGAACAACTGCGAAGGGTAACCTTGCCTACTTGTTTTTGGAGGCACTGTTGAAAGAGAAGGGTATTCTCAGAATAGGGGTAGGGGAATCACAAAGAATCGGTCCATCTCCACTGGGCTAAAGAGAGTACTCAAAAGGTTTGCAGACGTAGAAGTAGTAAGACAAGGGCGAGAGGAAGATGGGGTGGTGTGGAGTACAATGAGGATGGAAGACAATGAGGATGAAGAGTAGTAATAAGTGAAGAGGACTGTGCAGTAGGATGAGAGGAGAATGTTGGGAGACAGAAAAAGGGTGCTTTCTGGAGGTTGAGTAATAACCTGGGTGGGTGTTTTGGAATGGATAGAGTTGTCAGTAAGCATCGAGGAGGGGGTGTTAGTATCTGTAGTTGGAGCCGTGGTCAAAGGAAGGGTAGGGATTGGGAAACCATCAAAATCAAATTTAGATAGGCTAGTTGATGAAGGGGCAAGCTTTAACGCCCCTATTAAGGGTAAAGAATCTTCATTATTGGCTATGGTGTGCCTGAATAAAATGGGGAAAAGAAACGGTCTACCTTCCTATAAGGGGTAAGCTTAGGCAATTAACCAAGGGAACACCATGCCCATGGCTCCTGGAGGCTGTTCATGACTGACATAAAGCCAGCCTTTCATCCTTTTATCACGGCTCTCACACCTTAGGGATGGGACAGTTAAAGGGGATAAAGAAGATATGGAAGAGCAAAGGGGAGAAGAAAAGATCAAGCAAAATTAGTTGAAGCGAAGGCTAAGGCTCAAGGTAAGGGTGATCCCTTACATTGGACCTCAGTCTCCATCTCCTAACCCTTCCCACGACAACAACGAGCAAGGTATTGGGAAGAGAGAAAAAGAGAATATAAAACAGGGAAGAAAAATGTCTGTCACAAGCCTTCAATACACAAAACAGATTTACAGGGAAACAATTTACATATACCATTAGCATGTAAAGCTAGACGCTTGAAAACACAAAAACTCGTTCAATGCTAAAACAAGATTCTGACAAAAGAAAAAAAAAAAAAAAAAAAAACTGACTATAATTAAATAAACATATAGTGACACAATGCAATGCTTGGAACAAATGGGACTGCTATATCAAAACACCACAAATATAAATATATTACAAGTTACAAAGCACTGTGTATGCATGACTCACTCAACACCAACTCTTGACATTTCCCTCCCTCCCCTCCCATAGAAAAAGAAACAGTAATAATAATAATAATAATAATTACAATAACAACAATAATAATAATAATAATTACAATAACAACAACAATAATAATAATAATAATAATAATAATAATAATAATAATAATAATAAAAATAATAACCATAATAATAATAATAATAATAAAATCACATTAATCTACAATATAGAAAGGCACAATCTCCGCTTACCTCAAAGGTCCCGCAAACTGGGTGTTACATCCACTTTTGTTATGCTTAGTGTAACTCTACTACAGTTGGTCCGATAAACAAAGGTTTCTGGTCATTGGTGTAATACTGTGTTTGAAAAATAAAAAGGGTATTTCTACTAACTAAAAGCTTCTGTGGAATGAGACAAGTTTAACCATTTGTTGTGTGTGCAAAATTTCAGAACCGCACCACGGAAATGAGTAGCAAAAGTTTTACTTCAAAATAACCATAAAAAGTAGTCAAACAAAATTATCAGCAACAATTAAAGATAGATGCTAATGACCCCTAAACTCAGACCCAACTATAACTAACCCAAATTACCTGATAAAAAAGGGATAAATAAAAATGAAAGAAAAAAAAAGAAATGTAAGTAGCAAAACAGACAAGCAAACCTGTACTACAGCATTTGCATTTCACCATAAACACTACCACCTGGTAAAGGACCATCTGCATGGCATGAGGGATTGACAAGTTCACTTTCTTCTTGTCCTCTGCGAAGTCAATCAAATTACGAGATCAACTTGATATGCGGGTTGAAAACTGGTTGAGTCACATCCATTGTTTAACCTAGAGACAGTCACAAGCAATTAAACACTTAGTTAAATGACAAGGAGTGGACATGCTGGCCACCTTCTCTAAATCAAATTGCCCTTGTAGCAAGGTTGTACCTCCTCTTCATAGTACTGAATACAACTGAATGTTATCAAGAACAATGTGTCTTTTACCATCCAACTTTCACTGTTTCATCCCCTCTTTCTTTGGGCTTTATCAAAAGCAATTAATTAAAAAATACATGGAGTCCTTAATAACGGCTTTTGACAGTTGTAAAAGCATCACTAACATAAACAAATCTGGCCATCAGGTTCTAATATAGTTACTTGCATACATAGAAACATTACATTATATTCCATTGATTATGAAAAAATACAATTCACAATATCTGCAAAAAGATTGTAGCAAATTACAGTGCTTGCAACATAATATGGACAAAGTAACAGATTTTGCAAATGCAATTCTTCAATGCATAATTCAGCAGTGAAAAGCCAGTACATTATAACAACCAATCCTTTCCTTTTTTTGATGTATCAAATTACTGACTCTTGTGTAGCTGCAACATCTGTCTCGATAAAATGAAGAAAAAAAAAAAAAACACAAGTTAACATTAATGCATAGAGTAAATACTTATAGTATGTATATATATGTATATAGTTTTTTTTTCTTTCACAGATCTTTTTCACAAGCACTGTTTTTGATATCTCACTAAAACTTAGTAGTCCAAGGAGAGATACCACTGATGGCGTGAGATTCACTGTCAGATCCACACCACTGCATCCTGCTATGTACAGTGCTGACCCTTGCTTCCACTAGGTCATCATACCTTCATGTAATGTTGCCATCTTCTAGCCCCACTCCCATCTGCTTATTTGTGAACATCTGGTGTGCTTCATAGTCATTTTTTTTAGATATTCTATAAGAAATCTTGACATTCAACTGTCCCTTTCATACTGCATATCATACTCAAGCTATTTTTTTCTTCTCATAATTGTGTATAAAAATATACTTAGGAGGCAACACTGTTTAAAAGAAGATGACAGCGCACTGCCCCTTTCGGAAATAAAAGATTCAATTATTAAAAAGCATCATGTATCACCTCAGCAACACATTAAGTAAATGCATTTCCTCTGACAAAAATGAGAAACAGTACTTTTTTTCTCCTGTCTATAACAGTACAATAAAACATGGTAATTAAAAGAAAAAGCAAAAAGATTCTCTCTTTTTTTTCTAATGTTCATAGTGAACGATGGCACTGGGTTAGGAGAGACCAGCCATTACACCATTTTTTGTTGCTTCCATAAGAGTGGGTGTAATGGTTTTTACGTAACTCTAAAGGCAAATATAAAATCCCTTTCGTATTATCCTAACTCATGAAAAAAATTATATTTCTAATTGGCAGAGCAAATGTTGATTTACCCTCTACAAATTATGATTTTTTTCTTAGTCTTGTAGACAGAGTCAAAAAAGACAAATAAATATATTGCATTTTAAAAGGATAAAAAATTTCATCTGAACTAAGTGTCGCAAAAAATTCTCAAATAAATTGCACACCTCACATAATCTCCTCACACATTTACATAACTACAATGATACACGTGTTTGTGTGTAAATATCTACAAATAATGGAACAGATAATAAAATTAATTTATGACTCATAAACACTAGTTATTAATATAATGTAAGCAAACCCATATTTGAAGGGAAGATTTTTTCTTCAAATACATTTTCTTTTTAATCATTCAAACCTTTCCTCAGGAACTGCCTCCAATGAAAACCTTAAGCCTAAAATTCAGTTATTTTGTGCTTGTTAAAGATTTTTTTTTACATTTTATTCCTGCCACAGTAAGTTTGTCAATGCCGTTAGTTTTGAGCGTACAAATTTGTGCATTGTAATCTCAACTTTATCATTATTAGTGCAACAATTTTTAGGCACAGCTTCCAAGGCAGTGCCTTCACTTTCTGGATCCTAGTGACATATCACATGACGATTTCTGTGCATAGGAGTTCACTTCTACATAAGTGAACATGCACAGTCTTCTTTTGCATATATTTTCACTAATAAAACAAAAGAAAGAAAGAAAGAAAGAAAGAAAAAAGAAAGAAAAAATTAGTATCAAACCCAGTGGGATAACATATTCCATGGGAAGGTTTCTCTACATAAAGACACTGCAATTGCAGACCATGTGGTTGAATCGCATTCCTCATCCCAGCAGAGAAACTATGGCCATGAAATGTTAACCTAATGCAAGACATTCAGTAAGATATTCTGAATCAGTTAACTTGTCTTGACAAAGCCAAAATCTTTCATTCTTGTTGTAGTTTCTTCATGTGTCATCCTTCCTCCCTTTGAGCAAATAAACATCCATGTTGTCCTTTCCTTTCACAAAGACAGGTCCACGGCGCTCCAGTTCATAGCGCCTGTTGAGGATGGCAGCACATGCACCACTCACTTGTATGCGTCCTGGTACCCCAGTCGAGTCCATTCTAGAGGCAATGTTCACTGCATCTCCCC